GATAATTTTTGGGATCATCTCTCGGTCTGTCCCCAGGCTTGGGAATGGCTATAACATCAGCCTTATGCCATATCCCGGGGATGACGCCGGTGTCTTTGATTGAATTGAAGAGGTGTGTCAGCCATTTTTTGGCCTTGGGGCCCAGGTGTTTTAGGAAGTCCGGGGGGATGCGATCCGGGCCCGCTGCCCTGCCTGCCTTCATTTTTTCCAGGGCCTCGTCGAGCTCTTCTACAGTGAATTGCGAGGCCATAGGCGAGGGGGTGGGATGATTTTTGGAAACTGTGCGTATGCCCTTGTTGGTTTCCCGGACGAATTTTCTTGAGAGATTAGCCGGATTGGCGTTCTTCAGGAGTAGGGTGGCCACCTCGTCGGACGTTGCTTTGCGATCGCCTGTGAGTGGAACAGGCTCGCACGACAACTTTCGTAGAAGTCGCCATGCCTTCCTACTGGAGTGGGTGAAGTCAAGTCCTTGAACGAGGTCCCTCCATTTTTTCCTCCTGGCGTTATTAAGGGAGGTGATGAGGTCGGTCGCCTTCTCGGGGTCGCTGGTCTCTTGATATTCGCGGAGTAAAGTCTCGCTTTCTGGTGTCCAGCCGGGGATGTATCTCTTACGGCTACCCCTTGGGATGGATTTTTTTGCTGAGCTCAGGAAGAGTTTGGAAAAGCGATGGTATTGTGATGGAATCGGGGGGATGCTGCCTACAACGTCTTCAATTTTTGAGGTGAATGTGTCCCAGTTAGCCTTGCTGAGGTTCCATCTTGGTATAAGGGGAGGGGGTGAGGTGGGGATTATGATTCCAAGGATTAGGATGGTGGGGCGGTGTTGGGAGTGGGGAAAGTCTCCAAGGATGAACTTCGAGTTGGCGATGGGAAGGTCGTTGGTGGCGTTGCGGGTGACGAAGCAAAGACCCGGATTATAGTCCCTATTCCAAGTTCTGGAATGGAATGTGCCCGGTTGCTTGGGGTCGAAGAGCAGTTGTAGAATATTATGTAAAGCCCACTCCGTTATTTGTTCCCCTGCTTCGTCGTTGTTTGAGTAGCCCCAGTCCATATGATGGCTATTAAAGTCCCCCATATAGATGGAAGGGAAGGTCACCATATTCGCCACATTACTTCAAATACATGTACTATTAATAAAAAGAATGTGCAAGCCTTTGGAAGTAGGTTTGAAGTTGCAAATTGTCATCAATCAAGACTGATACACAATAAAACACAAAGGAAAATGTGACGAATGGCGAAAGTATTGAATACCATTGTTGTCGATGAAAAGTGCCTTTATTTGTTTGCGATGCACAATTTCACCATGAACAATGTAATTATCTGTTGTTCATTTGGGCTTAGAGTGCTGGCTCTGGTCCCGTCTGCCAGTGTTGCCAAATGTCGTGCCGAAATTATGCCAGATTCAATACCGCTTCGACCTTCGTAACGGCGTCTGAATCTTCGTTTTTTAATGCATGATACATTTTTTGTGTTAAGTTTATGAGTTGAGCTGAGGAAGAAGCGTTGATTAGCAGTGATTGATCGATGTAGTGGGATATGGAAATATCTCATCCAGAAATCCCTGAATTAACAGGACTGCACGCACAATGGATTATTCTAGAAGGACCATTCTAGAAGGTTCGAGGAACTGCAGATAGGTCTAACGTTCCACGTCCGTACTAAACTTGTTCATAAAAAGCAAAAGAGGCTTACATCCATCTAACGCTGCGCGTTTTTCTGAAATGTTTCGTGAATAGGGCTGCGATTGGCCAAACAATACACGTCCTCAAAGAGATGTCTGGCAGACAACTGATATATGCCTATTGGCCATGCAAGTCGTGAATTGAGTTTTGTATGAAAAAAGTTAGGCCTTGGCGTTACCTAAAGGCAGTCTGCTGATTAGGCCTAGGCCTAACGTTAGTGAGTCTTAAAGAAATGGTTGGGGAGGGGGAAAGGCCGAAGAAAAGGAAAGGGTTTTGAAATTGATTTTTATGTTAAGTCATGGGAAACCTCGTTTGCAGGCTTTCAACTTGACATTTTAAAAGTTCTGCTTAGGCATAATTTTATATATGCCTCAATGTTCGCTAGTTATGAAACCAAATAACGATGGGTGTAGTAAAGTAAGCGAAGTTTATATATACTTATGTTCCTCATAGGGGAGAGGTGACACGAGCGGAGGGTGTAAATGTGGATTGAACGGACAACGCTGCCATCCGGACTGCAGAAATTGTCATTGATGGTACTTTCTTTTTTCCCAGAACCCACCACCTCCGAAGAGAGAAAGACAAAATGATCATTGTCAGCAGTATTTTGGGCTGTTCTCTCCATTCTACATATTTACGCAGGGCCTCCTTCCCTACAAAAAGGAAGTGGTCGTTTACGTTTTTGTGCTGTCTGTGTCTAACGTTTCCCGTCGTTCATCAATGATATTTCCTTAAATGTTATCCCTATGTCCATGTTTTTTTTTTCCCATTTTGGCATGATGATACTAGACTTGGCCTATTCTTTATATTCATATCGGAACATATTTGTCGAAGTCTTGACTTGGGAGCTAGCTTATCCGAGGCTTCCACACATCCCTCTTCCCTTTTACCCTCCCCAATCCAGTCGTTAAAGCCTATTCAGAGCTTAATACGATGGTGATGATTCGTGATAAAAATGATACGGAAGTTTCAATGTTATTGCTCACAGTGTTCCGAACTTCCATACAAAGAAAATCCGCTGTTGGATGAAACAATCTGGGCAACTGGTTTATGAATACGACTGTATGTATGAGAAAGGTAACGTTTTATGCTAGATTTCTCTTTAACAAAAATACCACTTTTTCCAGCACGAGGTTTGAGTGTTGCTTCATTTCGAAGTTATTATGCACACCAGTTGCTTTTTTTGATATCATGTTCTTTCTTATCGTTGTACCGGTACGGTAGGTACGGTACCTGATACCGTTGGTATCAGGTACCGACAAAGTCTGAACAATGTGGTAAAATAGTCTTTTAAGCTGTTGCACCTCCAATCTCCATGGAAGTGGCCTTTTCAAGGCATTCTCAACTGGGTAGTTTAAATGTCTCCTGACTCCTTTTGTATGTTCTCTCACTGACAGAGAACTTCCTATAGCGCTTCCTAAAAATGAAATAACATTGAATAAAGCGCATGCGGGCTTCTGCAAAGGAAAGTTTTTATTCTTGCTTCGCCGCGTTTCAGTCTCTATTTTCCTGACAGACCTGGAAATAATATTCTTGCTCACCAGTTAACCTATGAGTTGCATTTGCGAGTTCAGAATGAGCAAGCACTTTAGGCAACAAACAATAAAATTCACTTTAAAAAACGAGATCCAGCAAACACGCTAGATGGTACATGCGACACAAAGAGGATGACATTTTCTTCCCCCCCCCTATTGATATTAGGATATAAATCTCTCCCACAGTCCGATTGAATCACCCATCGGGTGAGAGAAAACCAATTGTTCAGGAGTAGCGTAAGCCACTATCTTTTCCATTTTTTGAAGTTGTGAATCCAGCCTATTGCCTTACGAGATGGAGAGGGACGAACAAGATCTGAACGGCATGCAAAATGTTGACGGAATATTCTTCAGCACGGACTTGCCTCAAAATTTACTCTCATTTCCGATCGGAGAACCCATCCACCAATCATATCCCCAACCTGGACATCCTCTGGGGCAAGGACAGTCATATCCGTTTCCATACCATGGAGTGTATCACCAGCAAGAACATGCACTGCATGCCGACATACGCCCCCATTCCACATTACAAGAAGGATTCCACATTACTCATCCGCAAGAACAGCAGCTGCCTTCGACAGGATATTTACTCCATGATGTACCCTGGAACCACAACGTTCCTTTCGTGCAAAACCAGTCATATTACGAAATGCCACAAATACAAGACATCCCTCCCTCGATGCCACTTTTTCCTTATGGGTATCAGGGCCACCATATGGCACATCAAATGGGGCTAGACCCAGGACTCTATGCCAATCAACACGGAGGTGCAACTGGGTGAGCTCATCAAACTTGCCTGTAGGGAAGAATAACATCCGAGCTAATTTTCTAATGTAGCAACTTTGTAAAATTCTTATTCATTGCAGGGGCCAATCCATGGCGGAAAGAGCTGAAGCGTCTCCTTTTCCTGCAGGCTTTCCTCCTCGGGTACAACAATACTTGCTCTGGGATATTCCAGCTTCTTATATCTCTTCTCAATCTTCCTGTCTCTCTCTCTTTTCCGCCTCTCTTGATTGATAGGATGGGAAAGAGATGCCCCATTCTCACGTCAATCAAGAAATGTTGATGCAGTCTTTGCAGCAGATACTTCAATCGCACCCCAGTTCAGAAGTGCTGATGCAGATGTTGCAACAGATGGTAAATCGATCGATATTTTTCTCATTTCTGATATTTCGTTTCCTTTTTGATAGGCCCATAAACGAATGCATATCTTATAAACAAACCTTTTCTCATGCGACCAAGAGAAGAATAGGAAGAGAGAAAGATGAGCTTTTTTTAACCATCAGACAGATTTTTATTCATAGTGAAAGCTCGACCAACATTATGAATAACGAATATTTACTTTGGGAAGAGTATTCTTGATTCGCGGATAGAATGGCAGACTCCAGCATAGCTGAATCAGGGATGGTATGGCAGGTCTGCGCACTCCATTGTATTTACACTACCTTTTTTAATTCATAGCCATTGGAGGAGCCTGCAAATTGGCAGAAATGCAGGACATTTTGTCGTTTGCGTCATTCATACAACCAATAGACAAACTATAACTAGTTTCTGCGTTATAACTACTTTAAGATACTTTTAAAAGTGCCCGATCTCTCCATTAACAGAGCAAGTGTGGGGGCAACATATGAGACAAGTCCGGTCAAATTATGTAGCAAGTTTGCGACAGTGGGATGAGTCAACAACACCAGTGCAGTTGCTACTGCAGTAGAGTAACGTAAAGTGCACGTAAAGCAGTAACTGTCTAGTCATACGCTTGGGATTTTAAAATTTGCTCTTAGGAACTCCTGCTAGAAACCCTCGACGTCAGAGAAGCTCAGAGAGGTAAATAATTAAACATGTGAATACCAGGACACCGTGAATCGAACTGGACCAGTCACGTGATCCAGTTCCATATCCGTTTTACGTCCCACCAGTAATGTAATGTCTCAACGTGACGTTGGAACTAGGTCACGTGGTAACAAGGTTCTAAAAGGTATCGGGAAATCCTTTTGAGGTTTGCGAAATATGGTTAATTTAGGCTTGAACTTTATCTGCCGCATTTCCTTGTTTGTTTACTCCAATTTTCCCTAGCACCATCAAAGAAACTTCGACAGTGCAACGTATTTCTGATGTGACATTCCTTGTGCAGATGCCCCCTTCGAACGAGCAGGTTAATTCAGCTCAAGTCGAGGAACCGAAAGGGAATGTCGCAGGAGAGAATGAGTGCAGAAAGGCGAAAGGGATGCCCAAGAGCGAGTCTTCTTCCGAGGAAAATGAGGAAGAAAAGGAACAGAGACGAAAGGACGCCATTAGGGCTCGGAGAGAAGCAATGAGCAAGAAGGTGGACAAAAATTTGGAAAAGAGAGGTCAGAAGTTGTCAGGAGGAGATAAAGAGCGTCTTCAACAAGGTGTCCTTGATTTTGTCTCGGAGAGAGGAGACTTGACGGCAAACATTGACGATTTGGCCCGCAGACTAAAAGTCTCAGGAAATATCATTCGTACAATCATTGAGGAGGACAGTCGATTTCTCCTTAGGAAAAACATGGTATCATTGAATGTGAAGCTATCCACGTGCGAAAAATACTTGACTTCCGGGGAATGCGAGGAAACGACATGTCAATCCCTCCATATTTGTCCAAAATACTTGTACGACCTTTGCTCAGATGTCAGTTGCGAGGATGGCCATAGTATAGACACATATCACAACCAGAGTGTTCTTAGTCGACTCAATATGACGAGGGTCAAGTCCAATGTGCTGAGGAAATTCCTCCCTCCAGACACAGTAGCTCCTGATCTATGTGATGAATACAACCTCAACAAAATTTGCAGTCGTGAGGGAAAATGTCTCAAGATGCATATTTGTGCCCTTTACGTCACGGGAGCTTGCAAGATATGCCATTTGAATCACAACATCTTTGACCCACAGTGTCAGAAATTACTAAAGCAAGCGAATATCCAACTGAAGCGAGCGAAGAAGGAACTTAAAACCTTCTTGAGAAGGAAATGTACTGTGAGCCCAGAGGAAATCGGAAAGAGGAGGAAGGACATGGAAAGGGAACATGATCAAGGTAATGGAGGACAAATACGTACACTCAAACATGTAGGTGATATTGAAGAAAAACATGGTCCTGCACAAAACCCCCGCCTGAGGTGATTCGAATGTACAACAATGAATTCGTCTTAAGTTCAGAAGGAGTAATATGAATCCTCAGAGAGTAACTACACCGAACAACTAAATGTGAGAATAGGAAAAATTTACAGAAACACTGCTGATGTTTCAGGATACTTATTCGTGAAATAAGGGTCGGAAATATCAGGGATTCTCTTGGAAAATTAATTAAATTAAAAGATCTTGGTGTTAGGCAAGACCTAGGATAATGTGGAATATCTTGGGAAATGTGATGGTATCAGTGCAGACTCCCACCTCTCCCAGGCGTGTGACAAAATTGTTGGTATTACATCATTGCCTTACCCTTACGTTCCTCTCTAATTTTCCAGTAAAACAATACGAATAATAAATCCAATTCCGTGAATAAACTCCTTTCGAGTGCTAGAAAAGTTTTATAATAATGAGTCATTCAACATCATTAAATCTCCAATACTTTCATGACACTGTTGCGGGTCAGTGTGCCAATTTGTTATTGTTCATATTGTCAAGGCCCTCCTATATTGTTTTTCATGCCGTTAGTATAATAGAATATTATCGACAAACTTGCAGGAGGAGCTCAAACATAAAATACGATGCGACCGCGTCATATATGTGGAGAAAAAGGTTTAAGTCAAGCGCATCAACATGGTAAAAAAACGTACACCATGCATATTTTGATCATATGTATCAACCTGTCTCTTGCAGCATTACTTGAGTATTGGTCTGTTCACAGATTAAAATGTAAACGGCATGAATTATGGGAATTGTGCTGTATCTCCAATGGTGCCAGTGTCAATTTGATGACATTGGCCTAAAAGATATTGGAGAACCATGCTTTTTCAGGCAATGTCCTTAATAGTTTTGGGGCTTGATTATCTCAGGTTCCTTTCATCTTTCAGGCAAGGGTCAACATGGTCTTTCCAGTAAAATTCAGGAAGCTTCATGGAGACCTGCAGAATACTTAAAGAAGAAGGGAAAATGCATCCGCAAGGGCAAGCCTTCCTTATATGAAATCCATGTTGAGGATGTCATGAAGGATGCAGAGAATCGGACTCGCAAGTGTGTAGTACACTTTGACTCGGCTCATGGCGACAAGGAAGTCAAAGTCATCATTCTTCTTGGTGCCACAGGAGCAGGTGAATTTATTTTTGTCTACGATTGGGGCACTGGGAATCTAAGGACGTGCTTAATGTATTTTTACCCTGAACAGGTAAAAGCACTCTAGTAAACGCCTTCATCAACTACTTCTATGGCGTGGATTGGGAGGATACCTTTCGTTTGGTATTGATCCCAAACATCGAAAGAGGGAAGTCGAAGGGTGAAAGTCAGACATCCTGGATCACAGCCTACACATTCCCTTGGCAAAAGGGATGCCGTGCACCCTACAGCATCACCATCGTAGACACGCCTGGATTGGGAGACACTAAGGGATTAATAGCGGACAAACACATCACGGTTCAGTTTAGAAAATTCGTCACCGATAGACAGCCGGAAGGGCTGGATCATATCGATGGAATCGGATTCGTGCTCCAGGCATGCAACGCCAGATTGAACTCAACTGACAAATACATATATGACTCCATTCTGTCTGCCTTCTGGTCGGATGGCATCGACAACATTAATTTGATGATCACATTTGCTGACAGCAAGGACCCACCTGTTCTCGAGGCTGTCAAGGAGGGAAAAATTCCCTTCAATGATTTCTTTTGCTTCAACAACTCCGCTTTGTTTGCATTGAACGTTGAGAGGGAATCAGAGAATTATAGATTCGACAGCATGTTTTGGAGCCTTGGGACAAAAAGTTTATCGGAATTCTTTGTCAAGTTCAAGGAATCCAAACCCTTACGTCTGCAAACAAGAACAGCAGTTGCTAAGGAGAGACTAGCACTTGATTCCACAGCCAACAATCCCGCGATCAAGGATCGCAATGGTTAGTGTAAAAATTCGCGCATTGGGGCTACTGTGGGCTACAAGGTGCAGTGGGACAGTGAACTTTTTTTTAGCCTAAAGATGGATGAATATGCATATAAATTTATAGGGGCAAACAAACTCGCTAGTTTATTGATAAGTGGCATCTTTCAGGTTTTTCCAACTAAACTAGAATATAAAAAAAAGGAAGAAAAAAGTTTTGGCAGATTAAGAATAGCAACAGGTACCGAAATGAAATAGGATTTCAGAATCTTTCCTAGGAGATCTAGGAAATGAAGTCAATAGTTGTCAATATAGTCAATATAGTCAAAAAGTTCCGTAGAGAACTCACGTAGAGAAGGTGGGGGGCGATGAGGTTGAGGTTGGGTTGAGCTTGAAGAAACGTAAAACCTTTGAAAAATAGTTTTCATATCATTATACTTTTTACATTCACTTGCTCGAAGCACCTTTTTTTCCCCGAAAAGTGGTCCCATTTAAGCTCAGCCTCCCAAACCTTTATTTACGAAAAAATAGTTTTCTCATTGTAGTTTTTACTTCAACTTAATAGGAATATTCTCTCCTTAGGTTCCACTAATTACCTCTTCTAAATTGGAGGTTTTATGAGGAATTGCTTACTACGATTTACCCTACACTCTAGGTTCCATACTGTCGTATCAACTTTCCCATATTCATCAGTGACTCATGCGCATCTTGGATCTCTACATGACTGATTCGATTTTATACTCGTTCAGTGTCGAGGAAATATTTAATGTGCAATCAAGAAATGTTTTGCTCGACCAATTTCATTAAATTCATTGATTGTTATTTTCCCTCCATATATTACTTTGATCTGGAGAAAGTTGCTTTCTGCTGCAGACCAAAACATGAACAGCGCGATTAGTGCCGAAGTGGCACCCCTGAAAGGGGAAAGAACGGAAGTAAACACCAATGAAAATCCTGAGAATGCAATCCACCAGGCGATCGCCCGACGAGATCCAGGAATCACAGGAAATGCTAGTACATCTGCCGGATCAGCTGAAATTGGTGCGGCCAATGCTCCCAGAGATGATAAATCAAGTGATGGAGATTCATCCGATGATGATGAATCTGAAGTAAGTGAAATAATTGGAAAATACTTCCAGTTCGAATTTTCACTGAATTCATATACAAAGTGGTCACGCAATCCCCATATATTTAATTGAAAAACTCGACATTCTAAGAAAAATGAATAATTTCCACTTCACATAATCAATAATGGACTGGCTATACTGAATTAAAAATCAAATATTTCAATTTTTTTAACTTTAGTTCCACATGATCACCTTCCAAATATCTAAAGATACATAATTGCTATTGATCTTTGGGCTTCCCATAGCACATTGTTCAGCATGTTATAATGTTAACGGCAGCATAGATAGGATCTCTTAAATCGTCAACATTGAGAACCTTTGTGCTGTAAACCTTTTACTTAATGTATTCCCACGTAAAGATGGCCAAGGGGGTTAGGTCAGGGGATCTTGAGGCCATCATTCTGTTTGATCCTCGGTCAATCGCATCGCTTTTCATCTGCTTCAATTGCAGCCCTCTTAAATATGCTCACAATGATACGAATTCTTGCATCCGTAGGTAAAGGTGTATGGAATTTCCTGAAGAAAGTTCCCCAGATCTTGCCATAACAGTTTCTTCATAAACGTGAACTCACAACCTCAATTCTCACCATAAGAGTTCCTCCTGTACAAATATATGTAAGATTACACCTGAAATAAGCAATGAATTATTGCTGATCAATATTTTGATAAGAATTATGGGTTTTTCAGCAAAATAGATTGGGAATTTATGACCACCCTGTATATGACCAAAGAGTAGGTCATTATAGACCAATCAACTTGTATTCCATGTATCATCCATGTTGTGGTTGGCTGTGGTTTGTTTTAAAAGAAGTAAGCTTATTCCGCTTCTGGTATATCTAGATTGAGTTTTCTTGAGCCGAAGAAGTGTCTAGTCGAAGTGCGAAAGAGTTCACCAAATTTAGTGAAAATCAGGATTGAGGGTTATATGTCAGTCTTGACTTAATTGGGATACTTACAGGGTGGGCGAATAAAACATTTCAAGTTTTCCATTTCGCTGCTAAATGTAAACGTAGACTGGGCTCACAGAGCTTACGCATTTACTTTAGTTTGGCCGAACTACGATCTACCAGTTTTAGTAAATGTGAATACAGATTCTGAAGTTTTTCCAAAATTACGATTTCACGGCGAGAGGTGAATAGCCGCACTGCGACACCAGGCTTTCTCATCGCGTTTGTGGGCGCTTACGTGGCAGCCAATGTCGTTGAATCTCTAGCGTTACCGCCATCATTTTCTTTCTAGCCACTTTGCACTTCTTACTCAGTATGTTTATAATGTCTAACGAGCACGATTATGTGGTGGCCTATCCTTTTCGGGTGAAGAGATAGAAGTGCATCAATGTCCATGTTACGTGCAAAATAAATGTTATCAAAGTCTTGCATCGAAAGGAAAGGTATGGTGGCAGAAAGATCACGAAATAATATGCAAATCGTAAATCGCGAGCAAGCTGCTGTAATGTTTGTGAGAAAGTGGTATTATAAGTAGTAAACATGGCGGTCGAGGAGGGCGATTTACAAAAAATCCAGTAAATGTGTTGCACGTTTAAGACCTGATCTCCAGGGAAGAAGACGATTTTGGAAGTAATCTCAGCGCTAGGGAAATATCCCGACAAACGGGAATTTCTCGTAGCTCTCTGTCATATGCCATGAACCAGATCATAACCAGGTCTTTATGACCTCCATGTTAAGAACAGGATAGATGCTGCACCTTGTGCGCAGGAGCAGTCACCGAGCGTCAAGGCGAATAATCGAGCGCTGCAACTTGCTCCTTCGACACTTCCGCACAAAAGCATCCATAGGAATCCATGACTTGAAAGAATTGCTATCACCATTAATAAATCAACCAATAACCAATAAAGCCGGCTGCGATATGGATAGATCAGGAGCTCCTACTTCACCCATGGAGGATTTGGATGGCAGTTTTGTGGTACCTCGGATATGACAGGTTTCAGAGATTCCAAGTATCCACCGTATCATTGGGTGATGTATGTGATATTGGATAGCACTGGCGAAGAAAACACAGCATGATTTCATCATACACACTAAACAATAATATGGAGGTATATACACTAGATTGATATATTATTTTACCTTATTCACACAGTACATTATTTGGTTTTAGTTATTTTAACGTATTTCTAGAATATTCTCTACTTTAAAAGCAGGTATTTTATGCTCAACTTTTTCTAAATATTGAATCAAAGGGTTGAGTTACTCGTCCATACAAATCCTGCTGTAATATCTTTCCCGAGAATGTGGTTAGCATATGCTTGGAAAAAAATTATCATTTTTATTATTGGATTATAGTGATTCGATTTAGTAAGTTTAGGCACATACAATATCGAAATCTACGAACGTATATAACGTTTTTTGCCTCTAATGGATCAGGGTTACTTCGGATCAATGTGTGGCCACTGAGAGTTTTTCATTACTTGAGGTGCTTTATCAAATGGTACCAGTTTCACCAGTTTCATCGTGGGACGCGAATAAGCAGAATGGTCATCCTCCTTTTACAGCCGAAAGAAAAACAGTGGAGCTTTTCCAGGCAACCCGGTATGTGTCACCTTTACTAAATAGAGAGGAAAAGAGGCAGCAGGAAAATGAGCTTGTGAATCTTGGGGACATTTTACAGTTAGCTGAGGAAGGCAGGAGGTAGGCGTGCAATGAAAAATTGCAAGCAACTATAGTAAAATGCGAACGTCTTCCAGATTTCGTGTACTTCAATAATATCCCGGCGAAATGCAAGGATATGTTGTGTTCTTTCAGCGAAGTATAATAGGATATTCCAGATTTTCAAAAAATGCGAGTTATCTTTGCAGTGACTGATATCATTTTCTTGTTCTTCCAGCTTATTGGTTTCAGCTGGAATTGTTAAGGTTATTGTTTATAGGTGGGAGAAAATATCTTCACGAAACTATTGCTTCTTTCAGCCATCCATAACATACAGGTAAGGTCTGATTTTCTCTCCTATTTCCTTGAAAATACAGAATAAATTACTTGTGTTTGATAGTCAGCCCAGGAAGTACTTGACCGAAATCGGTTTGCTGCCCTTCGAGAGGGTCGGCATACTGGGCGGAAAACTTGTCGCAGTGACTACGTTTTTATTGGATGTTCAGTCACATATTTAAGTCAAACTTATATTCAAAGAAATTCAGGTCTTTAAACTGAATGATGATATTACATGATTAGATTACATTGTTTAGGTTCAAATGGACAACCTCATATTTTCCCCGCTGCATTACGTCTTTGTGTCTTCCATTGCGCCAATGCAATACTTGCTGCATTGGTAAGGCAGGGGAAGAAGTTGCAATAGCTAAACAGAATTTCCTGGCAGGCTTTAGCCCAACTTTTGCTCAGCCATATGCCCTTTGCAGAGAATGATGTCCCGTCGGGCAGCCATTGTACAAATAACTTATGTTACAAACTTTGAGCATGCCGTATATAACTGCCGGCATGTATTCATCTAATGGATTATTGATTCCCAATATAACGGTGCCCCAAGTGAATTTTCATTCACATTGGTGGGCCTCCACTTTTGGCACAATAGTGTACTGATAACATACATTTGACTTAGCTTAATTTATCCTGAGCTGTTCAGGAAGATTTTACTATTGCAACATGAGTAAACGATTTATTGTCAATTCCATCACATTTCACTTCATTAAGTTCCAACATTAGATCCTAAACATCATACCTATGGGTTTGAATTCCATAGTATCAACATAATGACGATCGATTTGTCGAAATTGCATTACAGTGAGGTCTTCATTTCTTCATTCTACGTTTCATATACCCTTATGCGTGGTTTTCATGTTACGTTTAGTATTTTATGCTGTTTTAAATATGAAAACCCCAAAATAAATATTTAAATGCAACCGAGTGATGAGGCGGTTTTCTGGTAAATCTTTTGCTACTTCATCAATGAGAAGAGCAGGGACACATCCATTGCAGATCCAATGGAACATTTTTTTTCATTCCGTCGCGGTTTGATTGGAGGTCTTGGCGACGGCATGACAGGCATCTTACGGAATATTTATGTGTTAGCTTCTGCCCGGTCATTAGTGGAGTAATTTGCTTTGGAGAAACATGTTCTGCATAGGCATTCATACTAAACCGTAATATTGTGGTCTCTCAGCGAGGAACGATACAGATATATGCCTTTCTTCAGTTATTGAAATTAATAACATCAATGGAATTGAAACCTCATTTAGCAAATTCTTTTTATTGCCTTACGCTAGGAAAGACAGTTTTTGGAAGCAGCTCTTCAGAGCATCGAGCCGCAATTGATGGCCGGTGAGATGCACTTGATCAATGTTTCTCCTTTTGGGAAAAAAAAAACCTAAGTCTTAAAATAGGTCATGTGGAACTTATGGTGGCCTGTTTCAATGTAGGACTGGGAAAACTCGAGGAACTGAGGCAGGAACATGCTGTATTGAAAAAATATGAAGTGGAGTTAAATGCAAGTGAGAACGTCATGTATACAGTGAAAGTCCAGAAGCAAAAACAAGTAGACAAGGATCCTGGTGAGTACGTGACGAAGTGCCTTAGATGCAACTTAACCTGTCACGATCCTTGCACGCTGCCACAAGATAAAATGAGGGATTCGTGCAGTTCAATGGTCATCGATATGGACACAGGTGCTGTGACACACTGTGCAATATGTCCAAGCAAATGTCCTCCTAATCAGCATGTCAATAATCAGTATCGCATGGAATTGTATGAGGAAACAGAGACGAGATTGATTTCAGATTTTAAAGAGAAATACGAAATGGAAGCTGGAAAGAAGCTGAATGTTGAAGGGATCACGAAAGCCTTGATCAAGGAATTTAACCAAGAGAGGGCAAACATCATGGAACTGATCAAACGGGCATATGAATGCCTGTGCAAACTGGATCGAATGTCTACCAGTTCTAAAAAAATGGGTATCTTAGACTACCTAAATCTATTGATATCTACCGAGAAAAAAGAAGCTCGGCCTGGTCATTCTCAGAGGATCAAGTTCCTCCAAGACACACAAGCCAAGGCCCAATTGGCTGAAACGCTAAAAGGAGACTTTGATCTATTAAAGGAGTACACAAAGGAGTTCGAGATAGAGGGTTTCAGCATCTCGCTATTTGATCCAGATTCTGACGAAGATGACACTGAAAGTGACTCTACCTCTCTGAGCAGTACGGCTGATGAAGACGAGCATTCTCCGAGGCCATTGAGTTTCATTCGTAGGATGAAATTTGCTTTCAGAACGACCGCACGCAAGTAAGTCCACCCAATCAAAAATGAAAGTCTCAAATATAATTGTCGTGACAAAGTATTTTACAGGGTGATTCGTTAAATATTTTCTTATTCATTTTACATGTCCCGCGGAAATTTCTGGAACTATAAAACACATGTGTTCTCCAAGATTGCATGCAGATTTGCAGACATCAACATTCAAGTAATTGAGCTCCAACAGACAAGAGCCCTAATCACGGAACGCACGATTATGAATGCCATGCGAGCGCAGGTGTCTAGTATATTTCTATCAATGTCTTACACAGCGGCTTTCCATTATTTTTTTTTTTGCTTTAGAGTGCCGGCTGAAAGGTTCTACCTGACAGTTTACACATCAGAATGTATTTAGCTGATTCGAGCCAAGAGAAGGATATAATATAATTCCAACAATCTGTCCTGGTATCTTTTCCAAAACTCACAACGTCCGGAAATGTCATCTCATTGGTCAACTACACGTGACTAAAATGTCAGCTAGGGTCTGCCGCACTTCAAAAGATATGTGCAGGATTCTGAAACGCAATCTGAAAATGAAGTTTCAAGTATACAGTACGTATTATTGTTTGCCGTGGTGTTACAGAACTTGCATTACGGAAATGGAATCCCGAATTATTCTTGAGGACACCATATATTTGAACTTGAAACTTGGATTCATGCCACTCCTAATTCACCTTTTTCATTGAACCAGCTTAATGCACTGTTCAACTTCAGTGATTAAGACTTGCAGGACTTATGTGCCAATAAGCTGAATTGTATTACGTGGGGCACTCCAAAAGTTTCGAGCAACATTTATTCCATTATTTCAGACGGTCAATTATGTTTTAGAGTTTTCCAAACTGTACATAATTGTGGTTAACGCATATGTACCTGCAAATGAACCACTTAAGGATGAATGCCAAGAAAGCGTTTTTGCTGGATGTCAGCAAATTATCTTTGATGGCTCCTTCCAACATTTTAACGCCCTCATAATACCGTCCCCTGAGGGTTTTTTTTATATAATTAATAAGAGTTCGATGTTACTGGGAGCCAGGTTAGAGGACTAGGAGGGATTAAGGGAGCAGGTGGAAACCATTTTCCTGTAAGCAACCCATTGCGCCGCATGAGTGCGAATAAGTATTGTGTTGGAGTAGCGTTCACTGCAAGAGCGGCGTATTACGCCGCGCGTATATTAAGACGTAGAATACTTGGTTACTTGAAATCCTTTATTTAATCATTTATTTATTTATTTTAGGTAGGAAGCAATGAAGCTCAGATGAAGAGAATGTTGGTTCCGGAAAAAAAAGAAGTATGTGATACATTCCCCTTGCTGTGATTTCCCATTGGTCCGAATATACACATCTATGCATTTAATATATTGGGAGGCCGCATTGGCAATATTTGAAATAAACAGAGACTTGCACTCTTGTGAATGATGATTTGTGATTATTGAACTCTTCGGTATCATTTGACAATCTGAGAGGGTAATCGACTTTGATTCCTGAGGTAGCAGACTCTTGGTGAATCAGCGTTGATTAACGTTCATTTCATATTGAATTTCCATTTTCTTCAACCTTGAAATAACGTTGACTTAACAATGGTTCAACATTGATATAAGGTCTCAACAGGCTGTTTGTTCGTGCGCATACGCCATTTCATAGCTAAAGTACTTTGTGAATATCATCTCGACACGACTTCTGTCCTCTGAAGTAGTTCTTAATGATGCAATCATAACATGGACTCAGTGCCTAGATGAGAGAGGCATACATGTCCCGCAGAAGCAAGAGGACACTGGAGTGATTGCATTGCAGTTAAAGAATATGAGGCTAATAAGTTCATTCACTTCCCATATCCTTCCATGGCTGCAGGATCAGGATTGAAATCATCTTTCGAGTCAGAGCGACGGGGTCTCAAGGAGTAACAAGACCATGCTAACCCTGTAATGCATGCCGTAGCAAATATGCTACATAAAAAATGAGCATTTTTAGAATCCGTAGGTAGCGAACTCCTGAGGAAAGACGGTTCGTAGCAGATGTGCAACAGTCCGGTCCTTATACCTAGCAACCATGTGGTCGCTAGGTGCCGTACACTCCTGGTGGCAAGAACATTAGAATCACCAGGCTTAGTCGGGTGACAGGTTTTCGTTTTTGGTGGAATCATCAACTTGACGCTAATCTAGCGTCTAGGCTCATTGGTATTTCTACATTTTCTTTTGTATTGACGAATGTTGACGGACAGACTGAGCTCTCTGGCGTCCATGCTGAAAGCATGGTTAGGAAGCTGAAAATGCTGTTTGTAGTAAATGAGCAACAATAACATCTTCGGGCCTACTGCTGACGAATTTGACTTTTTACAAATATTTTCCACTTGACCAGAGTTCTAGGACGTAAGTGAAATCTATCATATTTTTTTCCTGAAACCTATCAGAAAAAGGAAAATAAAGCATTAAAGGGTCAACTTTCCTGTCTCCATTACCCTGCTTAGAATTACACTGTTTTGTTGGAATGGATTGCCTCTTTCGTCGAATATAAGCAGGAAGTCAAACACCTCCCCTGGCGTCGTTCGGGGAGAAAAAGTCATGTACTGTTCCAGAGGTACTCGGGATGAGTGCCGATTCCATATATGAGATAGCTCGCCGTGTTGCCGGCCGTTTGTCGCCAATCAGGGCCGGAGAATCGCTTTTCTTCGAATGTCTCGCCAGGTGTCTCCCGACATCTGTAGATGTAACTTCGACCAGAAAATGTCATCGCAATATTGGTATTTTCAACATCGAGTCTATGTTAATTCCAAATTGATATGTCCATTTAGTTAATCTTCAGGAAAATAAAATACATTCATGGGAAAATCACCATGTGAGATGACCGTACTTCATTAGCACGGTCCTAAATCTACTTATGCATACATACAGTAAGTATGCATCTGCGTTAGAAGACAAATGGAACGTGTGGGGCGCCGTAAGATTGCTGCTTCAACCTCGGTTATGTTTGCTGGCGATCGGACACTCTTTGGCCTCCCAGGAGGTCGCACATCAGCAAGAGAACCTCCTGCACAGAAGTTAGCAACATAATATCGCACAGAATTTATTGATGTAGCAAAGCGGACATTGAAGTGGTTCCTAGATGCACGTTCTAACACAACTGACATGCTTTCAAAGTACAGTTCCGTTATTTTGGTGCGATGAGGGGTACTCCATCCGTCCACCTTAATGTATTACCAGAACAACATGAATCAACAAGCATGAACTACATGAATCAGACTACATATCTTCGAAATTACAGTTCCCTATCTCCATCCGTTACGCCGCAGTACCACCTTAAATATGGGTTTCTGGGCCACTCAGTACGTCACCAGTTACGGAGGCAACTGGTTCTCCATGCCTCTCGGGGTGTTTACCAAGGCTGGAATCAGTCCTGATAGTGGCGGTCAATGTTTTCTTGTATTCCACAAGGTTACAGATGTACAGAGTGGGTTCCGGTAAGAAATCCACACATCAAGTTGCTACATCTTCAAGTGATTCATGGACGTACTTCGGACATTGGAAAACATCATCAGTCGAAAAATATCAGGCGAGGACATATTCAATATCTTTTTATCTTACCTCTGGCATCCTTAGAAAGTATTTGGATATTAACGTTTTCATCTTTCCAGCCTGGTCCTGTCCCAGAGAGGAAACATAAAGCATCTATTAACATAAACCTGAAGTCATACACAGAGTTGCGCCAAATCTCATATTGAGTCCTGATTCATTAAAACCTAGCACCAAAGAAAGAATTGCAATGATAAGCTTTCACTCTGTACGAGTGACACCATTCCTTCCCTTTTATTCATTTTGTTTTAGCAACATTTTAAGGCATCAGGAACCTCAAGGAATGCCATCCTTAGAGATTATAGGTGAGAAGTCAATGCGTCAGAATTTTCTTTTCAAGAAGATACTACGGACTTAATGGGGTGCATCATGTAGTAGTCTCGAAGCCAACATATTTTGCTAAGTTAGTAGTTAAATGAATACACAAAGCAAGTCAAATAGGCAGCGACTAACTTCATCGAACATCCCAGTATTCACCAGGAGATGAGCAAGTGCACAGATGAACTTCTCATTCTCTCGACCACAGTTGTCCATCTGCAGGAAAATGTTATTTTTCAAGTCCATCTTCACATGCAGAGACGGGAAGATGACTTCCACACGAATTTATATTCCGATATATACAAAGGCAACCTCTCGAACACCCTTGTCTCTGTATATCATGACTTTTATGCAGCAAAAGCACGCAAAATCAATTTGCACGATAATTGCTGCCATGTAATGTGTCATACTCAAATATTAGGGCATCAGACCTGCCAGAATTACATGTGGCAGTTAATGCATTAAGTGGAGGCATTTCACGATTATACAATCTATGGCCCATCTTTGCAAATAAATAAACCACGGAATGAAGTTGGGTTCTAGACAACTTCATTCTGGGACCTTGGTCTTTGCTTGGTTCATACTATCAATCAGCATTGTCAGGCAATGTAGGCTCTTTGCTATTCTGTAGTCACTTCACCCATTGCAGCTGTGTTTTCAAGCAATGCACTTTTGATACGGCACTGTGGGGGCTATTTACAAATGACTGATGAATGAAACTCAGTTCGCATTTTAACTACTTCTCAGTGAGTATTATAAAACTAGACAACACCCACTTCTCTTCGAGATCCGCTTCGTGAGTAAACAACTTTCAACTGAATTATTAACTCAAGGTTAATGTTTATTCGTAATAAGAGAAAATGCAATTAGTAAACGAATACTCGAATTTCAAAGTGCCTCGCTTTGGATCAGTAATAGGAGACCTCTTACCTCACCAGGGAAACCTCAACTGGGTAAATTCAATTGCCAATCGAGTTCCGCCTCGTAGCATTCAAGTGAGACACCTAGTTGAAATTTAGAACACCCGGGCATTCGATAAGGGATGGATTTGAACCATGCACGGGATTCGGATCAACTCAAACCAAACGGATCGGGCAGACAGCTGGGTCCGC